GCTCAAGGTTGACTCAGCCTTCCATCCTTCCGAGGTGGGTAAAATGAAGACCCAGATTGTTGGGGGGGAGGGGGGGTCAAGAGGCCGACTCTGTAAACCGCTTAGTATATAAGTGCTATTGCTACCTATTTATCTACTCGCCTTTGCATGCTTTTGAATTGTTAGGTGGGCAGGAGCTGAGGGCGAGGAAGGGAGCTTGCCCCTTCTCAAGGCGCCCGGGGTCTCGAACCTGGGCTGCCGGCTTTTTCCAGCCGCCAAACCCAGCGTCTTAACTGCCAACCGTCCTTCCAGCGAGCAAAAAACAACAAGGAAATTGGACCTCATCTCTCTCCTGACCCCTGTGACGTCGTCAGCTCTGACCCTTGCTGCCCCACCACGGCAAGAAAAGGACGCCCACCCCGGCCAAAGAGGGGTAACCGCCCAGTGTAGCCAAGACTGGCGCTTTGGCGCTTCCTTCCCGGGAACTCTTCGGAATGGCAGGCGGGAAAGCCGAGGCCCTTCCCGAGGGGGGCAACTGCCAGCCATCGGAAACCACGAGGTGGTGCCAGCCGAGCCCGTGAGCACTGACCAGTGTCCAGAGGACGTAGATGGTGAAGAGGGCGATGGTCAGGGCGATGAGGCCGATGGCCTCCAGGTGGCTGTTGAACTGCATGTGGTCCTGGGCGCCTCGCAGGCAGAGCCAGCCCGAGATGGCCGCCAGCGGGGTGATGAAGAGGAAGCAGGCCATGTCGCAGAACAGCGTCCGCTTCTCGTTGCGGGGTCCGGGCTGCTTGAGCCACTGGAGCGGGAAGACAAAGAGAACATCAAATAACAGAGTTGGGAGGGGACCTTGGAGGTCTTCTAGTCCAGCCCTCCCTGCTCAAGCAGGAGACCCTACCCCATTTCAGACAAGTGGTTGTCTAGTCTCTTCTTAAAGACCTCCAGGGATGGAGCCTCTCCTACAATGTCTGGTGGCCAGCTGTTCCACTGGTTTATTATCCTCACAGTGAGGAAGTTTCTCCTTTGTTCCAGATTGCTTCTCTCCAGTTTCCATCTGTTGCTTCTTGTCCTGCCTCTTTAGGGGCTTTGGAGAACAGCTTGACCCCCTTTCTTCTTTGGGGCAGCCCCTCAAATACTGGAAGGCTGATATCATGTCCCCCCTGGTCCTTCTTCTCACTAGACTAGAGATTCCCAATTCCTGCCACTCTTACTTCGCATGTTTTAGCCTTTAGCGCCCCCAATTCTCTTTCCTGCTCTTCTCTCCGCTCTTCACTCTTTCCAGCGTCTGAACGTCTTCTGCAGACGTTGAGAGGAAGGAGAACATCAGGTGGAGGGGAAGAGTTGAAAGGGGGAAGCGGGGGTGGGGTAGGAGGAAGAATGTGAGCAGCCAAATCTCCGGCACTTAAGCCCAATTAAATCCTGAGTCTTGAGCCAAACTTCCAAAACTTCAAAAAGATTTATTGGGAGTTAACATGCCGGCACTGCCTGGGTGTAGCCAACTCTGAGACACTGTCACCCTTGACCCTGGTTTTCCCCCCACCCCTCTGGGTGTATCGTAATCCATATTCTCCAATGGGACACCTCCATAGCCCAGAGTCATCAATCGTGCTCTACAGTTAGAATTTTGCGCGGCAAAAACTTGGTCACCTGGTTACTATCTTTGAAAACATTTATGGAATGCACTTTTGATTTCCAAGCTGCCGCGCTGCTCCCCCCCTCCCTTTCTGTTGGCGACTCTAAAAAGACCACAGAAATATTTTATGAGTTGACACTCAGCTGGCTCCTCCTGCCAATGTGTCCTGCTCAGGACTGGTTCCACATGCCCGACATTGCTTTGAGAGGTGACACTTGAAGGTCACCTCAGGCCACCCGTAAGAAGACTGCGATGGGTCGCGCCAAGAATTGCTAGTAAGGCAAGGAGCCGAGGGCGAGGAAGGGAGCTTAGCCTGTCTCGTGGCGCTCAGGGTCTCGAACCTGGGCTGCCGGCTTTCCAAGTGACAAGCCCGCACCGATTCCTCCAACCCGTCGAAAGTCGGCCCCAAATGGGTCAAGTGGCAAAACACCCACATGACGAACACCCCCCCCCCTCCATCATTTCCAAAGGCTTTTCCTCTGGGTAGGGGCCAAGGGGGAGTGGGGGGGGGAGACACACCCACCTCCGTCAGAGGCCGGGGCCGCCTTTCCACCATGAACTCCGTGTGGCAAAGCTCGCAGTAGCTGGTGTTGGAGGAAGACAGCCACTTCTCCAGGCAGCTCTTGTGGACGGCGCCCAAGGTGCCGGTGCAGTCGCAGGGCGAAAGCAAGCCCTCCCCGTTCCCACCTTCGTGGCAGATTCGGCAGATCGGACCATCACTAGGAAAGCGGGGGCAGAGATTGAGGTAAGAAGATCGCCACGGGGGATTTCTCCGGGGGGAAATGGAGCCCTCCCGTTCATTTTGGGAAGCGTGCGTTGTGGCCTATCGGCCGCCAGCCCCCCCCCCCCCCGCCCAGCAGCCAAACCAGAGGAGGCAGAGTGGGAGGCAGGGTCAACATCGGGGCAGCCTGGGAGCTCCGAGGGGGAAAAGGGAACGGAGCTGCCAGAGAGAGAGACAGACAGAGGCGGAGCCTGGGCCGTCCCGTCAGCCCTCAGGTGGAGAGTCAACAGCCCCCAGGTTTGGAGCTGGCTGATGCGGAAGAGGAGGAACAGCCGGGCCCAGTGCCTGATGAGCGGATGCAAAGAAGGGAGAGGAGAGGAGAGCAGGGGAAATCTATGGGCCGGTCCTTGGGACGGAAGAGACACCGCTGCTAGCTGAGCTCTGGGGATAAAAGGCAAGGGGCGGAGAGGAATAGGTGTGGCAGACAACCATTCCTCTCCCCCGCCGGAAGGACTTGTTAGCCTGCGTTAAGAAATGTTTTGCCGAGGCTGCCGGCACTCCTAATAAAGGAATCTTTTGAGTTCACCTCGGAGGATTTGTCGTGTTTGGGGAGCTGGGTCAGAACAGAGTGCCGCAACCTGGCTTGAGGAAACTCTCGCCTCTGGGCTGCCAAAAGCTGAAAGCCTCCGGCCGATTCCAAAAGAAGCCAGCCCAAATTCCAGCTGGGCGCCTTAATTTATTGGGCTGCTTAAATTCTTCTGTTTGTACCCTTCAACTGGCCAAAACAGCCCATCCTAGGGCAGGTGGTTTTTTGGAATCGGCGTAAAGGTCAACCTCGACTTACGACCACAATGGAGCCCAGAATTTACGTCGCTAAGGGAGGAATTTCTTAAGTGAGGTTTTTGTCCCGTTTTACGACTTTGCAGTTGTTAAGCAAAGCGCTGGTTGTTGTTGTTGTTGTTAAGTGAATCCGGCTTCTTCCCCATGGACTTCCCGGCATCATCCGAGGTGCCCATCCGACTCCGGCTGGCAAACTGCCCCCCCCTTCCCTCTCCCCGCTGTAACCAAGGATTGAAGCGGCCTCACCTCTGCGTGCCCAGGGCTTTGATGACGGTCGACAGCAGTCGGCCGTCCTTGGCCGTGACTTGGGTGACGTACTGGGGGCGCCCGAGGTCCGAATCTTCCACGGACTTGGACAAGGTGGCACTGCCCGGGCAGTCACAGAGCGAGCCGGGGAGGTGGCAGCAATCACCTGTTGTCATGGCAACAGGGGGGACGCTGGGTTCAGCAGCCAGACAGCAGGTTCATGATAAGCTGGAAATGAGAAAGAGAAAGAGAGGTAGAGAGAGGTAGAGAGAGACAAAGAGAAAGACAAAAAGAGAAAGAAAGAAAAAGAGAGAAAGAGAGAAAGAGAAAGAGAAAGAAAAAAGAAAGACAGAAAGAGTAATAAAGAAAAAGAGAAAGACAAAGAAAAGATATGAAGAAAGCCATTCCTTTATCAATATGTTTAATTAATTAATTAATTACAACAGCAAATGAGCCCCAAGTTTATGCAGCAAAGTGAAGAATCGGTTCCGTGAGTTTTGCCCCACAACTTTCCCCGCCACGTTTGTTAAGGGAATCAATCGCTGCAGCTCTTAAATTAGTCACCCGGTCATAAAGCGAGCCTGGCTTTCCCCATCCACTTGGCTTGTCGGAAGGTCGCAAAAGAGGGGCGGGGGATTGGGTGACCAACCCAGGGGGGGACACTGCGCCCGTCGTAAATGTGAGTCGGTTGCCTGCCAAGCCCCCAAAATGCAAATCACGTGACCCTGGGGGATGCTGCAATGGTCATGAGTCTGAAAAAGGGGGCGAGCGTAAGTCACCTTTCCCCCCCCCCCAGCACTGTTGTAACTTTGGTCACTAAATGAAGCGTTGCAAGTAGAGAACTGGCTGCCATTTTTATGCCGCCCATCTCCCCTCCAAGGCGACTCCGGATTCTTCTCCTTAGCAGGCATTCCAAAGTTGGCTGCAAGGAGGCAGATCTTCCACGCTAATCCATTTTTGCATCTGATTGGACGCTTCCCCTGAATCGGCTAAGGTTTTTGTGTGTGCGTGTGCGTGTGTGTTTGTAAAGACACACAACATCCATCCCGCAATTCTGGCAGCCAGCAGAGAGACTCCTGCCAAGGAGACAAAAGTGACCAGCTGGGGTGGAAAATGGCCTTCGGCACAGGCCACGTTAAAAGTGGCGGGTTTCAAGCGCCACAGAAGAAAAATTCCCTCGAGCTTTCAAGCCTTCTGGAAATAGAAGGCGACCTACCTCCCGCGCTGACTCAGTTATCTGTTCTGACCTCGGCTTCCCCCAAAAGCCCGAAGCAGACTCTTTGTCCCGGCAAAACCCCTTTTATTAAACGAAGGTGAATTTTTTTGCATTCACTTTCAGCCAAAGGCCTGGCCAGCAGTCTTTCAAGGGTGTAATTTGAGAGCACAGACCTTATCTAGCCTGGAGAGCTGCCAAGTAACTATTGCCAAACGCAGTGCTGACAAGGAAGGGCTCGGCAGAGAATCTCTGAGATGCACAGACAGATCTTCACAATGATGGAACGAAGGAATCGGTTCCTGCAAAAGCCCCCTCCCCTTTTGCTCCTCTTTTAATCCCTAGGGGAGGAGCCACTCACCGTCTACCTGTGGCTTTACTCCCGCGTCGAACCTGAGTTCCTAATTGTTCTTTGGCCGCTCTGTGTATGCGCAGGCTGGGAACCGGCTCCGGCTGCTCCCCCGCCTCACCGCTCTCCAACTCCGAAGGCAGCTGCTGACTGCCAGCCAGCCAGCCCTGGCCCCATCTCTGCCTCTGACGCAGAGCCCACGTCCGAGCCTTCCTCAGCCTCCTCAGGGCTGGCCCAGGTTCCTCCCCAACCTCCTCACTATCTGACTCTATTGCCAGCTTCACGACGATATCCAGGAATCAATCTTTAGTCTTCCTGGAAGCAAACGAAAAGTTGCGCAACTTTAGAAGGGAGGGAAAAATTTCTCTCTGCCCTCTTGCTTTCCAGAAGAGGATGCTTGAGTCAAAGCAACAATACACGCTGGAGAGAAGCGCTTACGTTTTTCAAAATGAATATGTAACCTTGAAAGAACAGAGGGTGGGGGTGGGTGGGTTTTTTTTGTGCCTCTGGGGAAAAAAATATATTTTCTGAATCACACCTTGCAGGACCCGTAGCTCTTCCTGCCTTGATGCAGGAAACCCCCCCATCGCCACTAACCTTTGGCCCTGCCGGCTGCAGCAACGGGTGGAGGCCAAAGGTCCCATTGCAGGCTGCAATGGTCAGGAAGGGCCTTTTCCCCTTAAGAGGGGCATATGCTCACAAAGCATATGAAGAATGGTTGCAGGAATTGGGGTTGGCCAGTCTAGAGAAACGAAGGACCAGAGAGGACAGGATAGAAGCGTTCCAGGATTTGAGGGGCCGCCCCCAAAGAAGAAAGGGGATCGTCTTATTCCCCAAAGCACCAGAAGGCGGAGCAAGAAGCAACCAATGGGATGCTAATCGAAGAGAGAAGCAACCTAGAACTAAGGAGGAACTTCCTGACGGGGAGGACAATTAACCGGTGGAACTGCTTGCCACCAGAAGTGGTGGATGCTGCACCGATGGAGGCTTTTAAGAAGAGACTGGACAACTATTTATGTCTGGAATGGGATAGGGTTTCCTGCCTGATGGACTAGACGCAGGGGTCTCCAACCTTGGCAACCTTAAGCCTGGAGGACTTCAACTTCCAGAATTCCCCAGCCAGCAAAGCTGGCTGGGGAATTCTGGGAGTTGAAGTCCTCCAGGCTTAAGGTTGCCACGGTTGGAGACCCCTGGACTAGAGGACCTGCATCCAGTTTTGGTCAGCATGGTATCAAAAAAGATGCTGAGACTCTTAAAAAGAATGCAGAGAAGAGAAATCAAGACGATTAGGGGACTAGTGGCTAAAACATATCAAGAACGGTTGCTGGAATTGGGTATGTTTAATTTAATGAAAAGAAGGACCAGGAGGGACATGACAGCAGCCTTCCAGTATTTGAGGGGCTGCCCCAAAGAAGAAAGGAGGGTCAAGCTATTCCCCCAAAGCACCAGAAGGCAGGACAAGAAGCAACGGATGGAAACCGATCCAGGAGAGGAGCAACCTGGAATTAAGGAGAAACTTCCTGGCAGTGTGGACAATTAACCGGTGGAACAGCTTGCCACCAGAAGTTGTGGGTGCTCCTTCACTGGAGGCTTTGAACAAGAGACTGAACAGCCAGCTGTCTCAAATGGTTTCAGGACTCCTTGCTTGAGCGGG